ACAACACAAATACACACTTCAGTCTTACATGCATATTACCTGAACACACACACTCAATCTGCATACAAAAGAGGGTTTGTACATGTAGTCAAATGGAAATATACTTTATTGGACTTAATGCCTGCTCCAAAGTTGCTTAGCATTTTAGATTGTTTTATAAAAATCTTTGTTGTGGCGTAGTGCTCTCCTGCTATTTTATGTTTCACCACAAGTGATTAGATAATATCTATATAAGAAACTGTACTTAATACATGTTATAGTCTTTCAGCCTTAAGGAATAGTCACATCAAACAGATAATTATAACTTAAACAATGTTTTAACTATTTATTTATGAAAGCAACAGACTGAAAAATGATTGATTTCCTGAACCCCCTAAAAGCAGCATGTGAGTCTACTGCCCTCTTGTGGCTGCCTGACAACTTTGCAACTCTCAACAAATTATGAGATGTGCTGCTGTGATTTTCCTTCTTGGAGTTGATGTGGTTCATCTCCAGGATGTGGATACAGGTTGTCTTTAATGAGCAACACTACTGCCAGTCAGAGGTGTATCTATAAAGCAACACAGAAAATGTACATGTTCAAATGTATCTCAAAATTGTACCAGTTAAGCCCCATGCCCCCAGTACCGGCAACATCTTGCAAGAAACAGTGTCTGAGAGCTTCTTAACATTTAATAAACTATGAATGTGTCATACTCACTTAACGGGAAGAAACCCAGCTTTCAGGGGGGGTGCGAGAGACCAGGAGGAAAAGTTGTTATGACAACCAAAAAAAAAGAAATTTGAAAAGAAAATTGTTATGACGTCGGAATGACTGGCGGAAGTTACACTTAGAAACCTTAGAAACCTATGAGAGCACTGTAGGACACAGGTGTGTAATGTACATGAGAATGTAAGGTCAATAGGTGGCGTCAGGGGGGCGCTAGGGGTGCTGCAGGTCCCCCGGATAACCATAGCACCCCCAAAAAATGTTGTCTTTTTTATTTTTATGTGTGAAATTCATAATTAGAAGAATTATTGATTCGAAAATAATATGCTACAATACAGTACAAGTAAGTCTGGGTCTCTGTGTTTCATTCAGGCTCGGCTCTGTGTGTGGAACGAGCCATTTTGTGTGCGTGCGCGAGAGAGAGCGCGCACAGGTACCGGAGATTGTTGTTGTTAGCATCTGGTGCTAGCTAGCTACGCTAACAGATATAAGGAGCTTTTTCAACAACAAGGTGGAGGGAGAACTCTCGCCTGTCAGACTGAGAGGCTCAGATAACCTCAGCTCAGTAAGGTAAAGGACTCTCTCAGTGTTTAGATTACCCACTGAGATTAGTTATCTCAGTGAGATTAGTTATCTCAGTGGGTCTCAAACGGTTTGGTCACGATTAATGTAAACAATTATTTCAGAGGCACACGTTTATATGATCATTATAGGTATAAAAAAATAAGAGAATAAATGAAAACCAGTTATGAAATAATACTATGACAATAAAACAAGAATACAGTTTAAAAGGGGTGTGATTTGTAAAATATCCATGAAGAAAAAGTAAATCTGTTTACAGTTCTGTTTCATATGGGTGTTGAGAGGTATCCATAGATCTCTTAATGTTGCTCTCAAAGTGCACCAGATTGATGCTTTTAACTTCAATATTTTAAAAAAAAATCCCGGGGGAGCATGCCGCCGGACCCCCCTAGAGGAGGTTAGGTCCACCTCCCACTTGTAAAAATAGCTCTTTACCCCTGCTTACACCTATATACCGTGAGCTGATTATCGAGCCTTCATTGTAACAGTCGCGGATACACTGTGTATTTGCGTGGGGAATGTTGCAGTACAAAATTCAACTGTAGCGACCGGTACAGTAATGGGAAACCCTAAATGTTTGAGCACCCTCTATGAAACGTCAAACTACCCCACAGCACCCCCAAAAGAAAATCGCTGGCCTGCAACCCCGTTGTGCAGAAATGTGCAGTGCAAAACAGGCTCATTGCAGCCACTAATGCTGTGATAAGACACTTTTTTGCCAAATATCAGCATTTTCTTTCTTTTCATTTTTTTGCACAGATTGCAAAGTGGCAAAGTATTATAACTTATTGTTCTAGCAAAGGGATTGCACAATTGTATAATGTATTTTTTTTTGTGAGCACACAGACTTATGGAGCATTGTTTTATTATCACTGTTCTAGCAAAGTTATTTTTTTGAAAGGAATGCTCACGTTCATATTGATGTATTTTAATAAATGTTAACTTGGCCCATTACGTTACTATTTGTGTTGGGGGGGCCCAACTTTTTTTTTCTCCAAAGGGGGGCCTGACGGAAAAGGTTTGAGAACCACTGGGTTAATCCAATTGTGTCTGTGTCACTTTGAAATGATTACTGATAATCCATCATTCCATTTTTATGTCAATAACGGAGATTTCAGCTGCTACGAGAGTGTATGACATCAGCTTCCGGTATTGGGCTTTCTGGCTACGTATCACTCATTCACCAATGGGTAATGTTTAGATGGATTTTAGGAACTTCCCCTCGATTCTATTGGCTTATAACGGTTAAAAAGAGGTGTCAATCATCAAAATCGAATGAGGGGGGCCAGAGATATGGAAAATGCACCTAAATGACCCCAGAAGAGGTTTATTTTCTTCTAAATCTCTCTAAAAAGGTCAAATGTCACTTATTTTGCATCAATCTTGATACAGGGTACTTATATGTTATAGTTTAGATTCCTAAAGCTTTTAGTCTACTATCCCATCATTCAAGGGTGGTTTTCACTATAAGTAATGTTTTTTTTTTGGACTGACACTATCATTTACATTTTTTTACTATGTTCAATCTGAATTTACTTTAAAATAAAAACAATTCTATATTGATTCTGACTCTTCTACATCCAACTCACAGGTTTATCATTGCTTTGAGAAAAAAGATTATTAATATACCCCTTTTAGAAGTGAAGATATAGTCAATTGTTCTGGGAATGTCCTTTTCGAGCCTGAGGCCTGAAAAACAGGCTCGGTGCTTTACTATATACAATACTTTTAGACGTTAAGTGTTGTTTTGTTATTTTATTTCACTGTTCGAGAGGGGGTATTGTTGAGAAAACCAGTTTGGCTAATTAGGCCCAGTTTGTGCCTCTCGTGTATTTTGCTAGCTATAGCACACGGTTACAAAGTAAAGTTTCTTCCCAATGTGACTGTGAGACTATTTTTGTTAATTCAGCGGACATAACATGTTTCATTCATAGAGTAAAAATAGTCTAGGGTCATTCATGCAATATATATATATTTGTAATGTTATTCTCGGTCAAATATGTATGCTAATTCGTGACGGTCAAATGTTACGTCAACGTTTGGTGACGTTACGTCGGCGAATTTTGCTCAAAACAAACGAAAAAACGCACATTTGTACCTGTTCTCTTGGCGGACTGCAACGTTAACGGATTTCCTTCTTCCTTATCTCGTCTTGCCAGGCAGATAAAACATTTAGTTAGGGCGAAACAACCCGTTTAAATATAATATTTCCACAACTGACTGCCACATCCGAGTTGCTGGCCGTAGTTCCTTTTCCTTGTGTGTGACATCATACAAAAAATACACATCTCAAATGTAAGCCATTCAAGATATATTTCTTTCTTTAAAAAAATGATCATCATATTCACATTATTGTTAAGTGTTATGATTTGAGCAGATCACCACCATCATGGGCTAATATGGTTCTCATACTCAAAAAGTGGTAACTGTAAGTAACCACCATAGACTGTATATAGCACAAACAGTTAAATATTGTTTGGCACCAGTCCAGACATTTGACTCTGTCCAGCTTTCAAGGTTCAAGCTAAATGCAGCAATATTTTATTAAACCAAACACAATCTAAACTCTGTTAAATGTGGGGCAGGTAAGTTTGATAAACCGGCTTGAGATACACATTTTGTTATATTCCATGGAATGCTCTTAACATCCCGATAGCAATGAATATCTTAAGTGCTTTGACAAAAATCAATTAAAAAAAGTAATCTGTGGAAGCCGTAGTACTGTAAAAAGCACGACCAATCATTTGAGCCGGCCCGGCTAAAGTAACTGGATGGCCTACCTGCCTGTCAGCCTTCCATCTGTGCACAAACTTATCTCGTGCCCTCATTGGTCATGTGCGCGTTCGTGTGTGTTGGAGGAGGGGCTCTGTAAGGAAGTGGCAGAATTTTTCCGGCTGTGTATTTTCAAATTCTAGCGCACTCGAGCTGGTTTTTCCAAAATTACCTACCCCACCTTTAAGGGTTTCCTTTTTTTAAATAATAACAAATTGTTTATTATTATCATTGTGTCAATCCAACAATTAAAACATGAAAAATATGTAACAACAATGTAGTCATTTCTGGAGCAAGGGTTGGTAAGTTTAATTATTGCACAAAAGCCATCCCAGCAAGTCCCTGCAATATATATATTGACAATAAAATCATTGTGAATTGGGTGTACAATGCCATAATTAAAAATTAAAGTAAGGTCAAACTGCTGAAATGTGCAGTATTTCTTGATTAATTGTAAGTCTGCATGTTTTGGTTTGGTGTGAAGGAACATTTGTGTCACATACGTTTCCATGATACATGCATATTAATCAAATCCTTTCTGATCCTTTTTTGTGGAGGGAAGCCATGCGCAGCTTACTTCCTGGTTTTAGGACGCGTCTCTCTCCTCCTCTTCACACACCACACTTTTCGCGGCACACGTACTTACAGCCAATCAGCTCTGAATTATGTGAGATGACGTATGGTGGGGATGGCAGCACTATGCCCCTATGGTCATTATTTTTTTGCCACACACATTAAATAGGACAATACTCTGAGCATGCGCAGTGTAGTTTTTATAGTCACCGTTCACTTAGACAGTGAGAGGGAGGGGCATGATCGGGTTTTGTCCCACATGGCTCTAAACAGCTCAATAGGCACACTGTAGACACTAATTAGAAGAACACAGACTAAAACAGCAATGTACAGACGAATCAGATGATTAAACATGATCTTAAAATATATTTTATATATTTTGTTATTTATTTTTTGCATTTTTTTGTAATCATTATTTGTAATACTTTCTGCTGACACTAGGTGGGGCTGTGCCCCACCTGCCCCTCATGACCAGTCGCCACTGGATATGAAACATAAACATTGAAAACTGACAGCCAGCAACATGATAATAGGGGCAACGAGGCCAGAAGTATTATAACTGTTGAAGTGAAATTAAGTGAGTGTTTTCTTTTTTTAATTTACAACATGAGACAACAAAGATTGACTCACACGATATGTATGAGTGCCCGTTGGCTGGATTCACATTAAACAGACAGAAAACTCTGATTAAAAAAATAAGGCACAAGTTCTGACATGAGTTGTCTTGATGAGTCTGAGCTTGAGTCCTTGTGCTCTTATGATGCACATCAAAATAGCACCTTAATATTCCTCTGAGCAGATGGAGGAGCAGCATCTTGTCATACGATTCCCTGCTGAGCTGCAGCAGTATTGTGATTGTGATTTAAGCATGGAGCAGAGCTAGACTTGGACCTCTGGAAATGTCTGACTAACAAAGCAACGGTTAGGACGACAGAGCTGAACATGAAAGAAGCCCCGCTGAGAGAGAAGGTCGCTGTGTAGTTTCCTGTCTTGTCTACTAACCAACCTGCAGACACAGAAACAGGAAACATGTTATACCTCAGGGGGAAAACAATCTGCAAGACTAATTATATAATTATATAATTCCTAAAATATCCCAGACTTGTTTTCCTTAAAAACTGTACAGAAATACTTTTGAAATGAGGGATGTAGTTACTTGTGAAATGGGAAAATGATCACGATTACTGTTTTATCACACACAAACAAGTGGACAGTAGTGGTTTTTGTTATCATGAACCAGTAGATAATGTTATAATAACTGGCAACATATTTATCCCTTCCAAACAGGGCAAGATGAGAGCTAAAGCTATCATGTCCTCTGAAATGAAATTGAAGCAAGCAAATCCTATTAACCCTGGTCTACTTGTTTATCATGTATATGCGAAGATGTCAAAATCAATATGCCAGTGATACCCACAAGAGATTAAAAAGGTGTGTGGGGGGGGGGGGGGGGGGGGGTTACCTTGGTTGGTGATTGGCTAATGGTTACACAAGCCAAAACTTTGTTATGACATCATAAAGTGGCCAAAATCTGATCAGCTCATTTTCAAACAGGGTTTTATAGAAATGGATCAGGACAAAAAGAGAGAATCTTTTTTCCTGAAACTTTCACAATCTCTTTACACAGAGGGGACACATGTTTATGTATAACAGACTTGAAAAAGTGGATTTTTCATAATAGGTGACCTTTAAATTACAGTAGTTGAAATAAAATGAAGAACTCTTACCTCCTATTGGTGGGCTAATCAGGTAGGGGATGGCGTGCAGGAAGTAGACCACACCCAGAGCGGAGGGCAGGTCGGTGGAGCCCACGATATCAGAGGTCACCACTGGGATGAGCGCCACATATGCCCCGTCAAAGTAGCCGTAGAGTACGGAAAAGGGGACCAGGAGGGAGAAGGAGTGCAGGAGGTGGATGAACATACAGCAGAGCCCCTCCATGCCGATCGCCAGCATGTAGCTCAGCATGCGATACTTCTTCAGACACCTAGAGGGACAGAAACACATCAGTATTTGGTTTTGATTCAACATCTGCCACTTCTTTCACACACAATAAAAAACCTAGATTTTGGCAAGATGACGAAAATGAAATATCACATAAAGTATGATCAAATCCCATGATATCGAAATCGCTGCGATATTTTAGGGGTAGATATTGGTGCTTTGACAACATATTCACACTATAAAAGTTGAGTTATGTGGATATCAAAGTCAAAGTCAACTTTATTGTCAATCTTTCAGTTTGTGTGTACAGACAGAGATATCGGAAAATACCGTTTCCCACAATCTCGAATATAGAAATACAAATATATATAATATACATATAGTATGTAGGATATACTGTAGTTATACGTTTGAAAAGGGAAATAAAAGGGCAGCTAGGTCAGTCTGTTTGATTGAGAAAATGATGTCACTTTACTGTAATGCAGCCGGTAAAACCAGGGAAGACACTAATGCAATATATATAACCGTAACCAAAATGTAACACAGTATTTAGTCTGATATCACAATATAGAGACGCTACTTACTTCCTATCTGTGATCCATCCAAAGGTGATGTTACCCACAATGCCACAGACTCCAAATATGGACATGAGATAGGCAGCGTGCCGGTGCTCCAGCCCGACGCTGAGGGCGTAAGGCACCAGGTAAACTAAGGGAGCGCTGCAGCCATACGCCAGGAACAGGAGGGACACAGACAGCATCAGGAAGTCTGGCATCAGGAGGAATCTGAACTCTTCCATCGACCCGAGACTAAGAAAGGGGCGTCTGGACCAAGGTTTTGTGCTCTCTAAAGGCTCTGTGTGTAAGTGACAGACATTCGCTGTTTTGGCTTCAGTGAGTCCTGATTCTTCCTTCTTAGTATCCATGTCAGCTGTTTTGTTGATCAAGTTCATGCTTTCCACTAATTTCAAGTCCTTATTTGTGCTATCTTTTGTTGCTTTAGGATCTGAGAGTTTGCTGTCCCCTAGCATATTCTCAGTTAGCTTGTTGCTAAATAAAATACATTCAGCTATCCTCAGTTGTTTTAAATTTGGATCAGGCAGGCCTGACCTTGATATGTTCCCCTGAGCTAGTTTGAGGTTTTCAAGGCGAACGTTTTTGAGCGCTCCATTGGCTATGAGGAGCCTCTGAGTATCCATTAAGCTGCTTATTTCCAGCTGCTTTGGCTCTACTTGGTTGCAGTCAGCAGGGGCTTGTTCAGCGTCTTTGGAAACCAGCGCCATATTGTTCTCCCATATCCTTCAAGTGGAGTAGATCAGAAAAGCAAAAAAATACATTGAAATGGACCAAGATGTAGAATTGAACATACTTAAATTCTCAAAGTTAAAGAGTTTGGTAGCTATCAATACCACTCTCGTGTCTGTGCATTAACTATTAAACAAGGGTTGACCTATGTTGTCCATGCAGAAGTGACAAAATCTGCAGCTGAGGACTTACCGCTTAATTGTTTTTGGTTCCAGCGGCCTCATCAGAGCTCCACAGACACACAGGTTGGAAACAAATCCTCCCAGGATGAGCAGAGCTCCTCTCCAGGAGTAATACTCTATGAGCAGCTGGACTAAAGGAGCCAGGATGAAGGTGCCAATGCTGCTCCCTGAAGATGAGGGAAAATGGGTTTGATGAGATGACACGAGGCAAAGATGGTAACAGAACGTAGAGACAGATGTGAGAAAATCAAAGAAAAAATCAAAGAAGAAGAGAGGAGATGGAAAAGTAAGGTGTAAATGACAAGAGAACAAGACATAAGGTAAGTAAAGATTTCACTACCAGACAAGGCGATGCCATAGGCCAGGGCTTTTCTCTCATTGAAGTAACTCCCAACCATGGCTATAGCTGGGGTGTAGCAGAGAGCAAAGCCAAGACCTGTGGAGAATGGATATGATACAAAATCTGATCACAGGTTGTTTGGATGTCAAAGAATATGACCCCTTCAAACACCCTGCAATGCACGTACTACATGCATTAAACTACATTTTCTTTACAGACCAGGGTATATGCAGGAATCCTGAAGTCAAATTTAATACCTTTTAAGACCTTTTTTAAGACCCTTTCCATACATTTTAAGACCTCATCGCCACTTCTGGTACTGGTACTTTTTCATTTACAAAGCGATGTTGGATAAACTACCATCTTATATCTGCTCCCTGATCTCTCTGCGAATTGAAAGTACTTATTGCCTGAGATCGCATGCTGTGGTTTTATTAAATGTGCCAAGTGCTAGGACTGTCTTAGGGAAGAAAGCTTTTAGATGTGCAGCTCCACTAACATGGAACAGTCTGCAAAAAGAATGGAAAATTACCAAGCTAGTACCACTACATGTTTTTAAAGCTCGGTTGGATGCTACAAAATCAGATGCTGTTGGTACCTGTACATGTGGTTAGATATGTAAATTGTAATCCCTGTACATTTTGCTGTATGATGTCCTTTTGTTGTTCTGTTGTTTATGTTTTGATGTCTTCTTGTGGAACCTACTGCTGCAGGTCTCCCTTGAAAAAGAGATCATTGATCTCAATGGGATTTGACCTGGATAAATAAAGGTTTTGAATTGAATTGACTTCGAGTTTTAACCGGTTACATTGGCGACACACTTTACCTCACATTGACTATATACAGTATTGATTGTCCTTCCTCCTTATCTTCCAACCATTTGGACGCAAACTTGCATTTCCCCATAACGATGTTGTTTAACAACCGGCGTAAACGGGCCTTCGTGCGCTATCTGACCCACTGACCCCTGCATCTGTCACTGGGTCCACAGCTTCCTCTGGAACAGACAACAACGGGTCAAAATAAATAACTCCACATCTCTCCCTCTGCACCTCAGTATAGGAGCTCCACAAGGCTGTGTCCTATCCCCCTGGTTATTCTCACTCTACACAAACCAACTCACATCTCAGCACCCCACAGTCAACATATATAAATACGCAGATGACACAACAATAACAGGACTCATCTCAAATAATAATGAAACACAATACCTCACTCAGATCCATCAAGCAGTCACTTGGTGCTCAGAAAACAACCTCCTACTTAACACAGCAAAAACCCAAGAAATAATCATCGACTTCAGGCGAAAGCCACAGCCCAAATCACCTCTATCTATCTCCGGCAAACTCATTTCCACCACAGAATCACTCAAATTTCTTGGCACTCACATAAGCAATAACCTCAAATAGAAGACCAACACAGACCACATCTACAAAAAAGCCAACCAAAGGCTATTCTTTCTGCGGCAGCTCAAGAAATACAGAGTGAGGAAACATCTCCTAATCCAGTTCTACACAGCCATCATCCAAAGCATCCTCACATCATCCATCACAGTCTGGTACAGCAGTTCAGACAACCTCTCCCGGAATAAACTTCAACGTATCATCAATAAAGCATCAAAAATCACCTGCAGTCCCCTTCCATCACTCGAATCACTTCACCACCAACGAACTGTCACAAGAGCAAAGAAAATAATTTCTGACCCCTCCCACCCAGGTCACCATGTCTTCCAACTTCTGCCCTCAGGGAGGCGCTACAGGTCACTGTCCGCCAAAACCGCCCGCTTCAGAAACAGCTTTTTCCCCTTTGCAATACGACACTAAATGGACTCTAAATAACCCCAATGAACAATAACAATCCACCACACCTTGAACTTTATGATATGTCTTTGCCCTGTGCTGTGTGTTGTACTTTTTATTGTCTGTTTATTGTATGTTGAATTGTATGGAACAAGCTGTAATACTCTGCACTGAACACGAATTCCACCAGCCTGGCTGTGTGGTCATTAAAGATTATAATCTAATCAAGCAGTGAGCGTGCGATGTCCTGTTCAGATGACGTCAAATCCAACGGGATTCCATAAATAAACGACACAGAATCACACTACACACCTACGCAATGATTACATTCAGGCACACTGTAGAATACAACCTCTTTGGACCATTTATATACTTATTGAAAACAAGCTACAAAATGTAATACCTTGGAAAATGCCGTTTAATACTTTTTAATAGCCTTCATTTTCGCTAAATTGATTTATCAACTTTTAATACTTTTTAAGACCTAAACTTAACAGGAACATGAAACATCATTAGATACTCATAAAAACATTGCCCCTAAAAAAACAACTACAGTTTGTTGAGTAAAACTTTGAAAAGCAATGAGACATTACTATATGATTGCATGGGATGTTTTTGGAGAATGAAAAGACAAATACTTTCAAAGGGACAGATCCATGTTAAAGTAGAGCCTTAATTTCCATGGGGAAGGTTTTGACGAGAAATATGCACAAGAATACATTGAATTCTCTGACAATATGATGATTTGACAAAGATATTAGTCACTAATATAGTTCAGAGCTTTACATGTGGGAAACAGTATTTTGATATCTCTGTCTGTACACACAAACTGGAAGATTGACAATAAAGTTGACTTTGACTACATGCCTTTTACTTGGAAGTTGACCTCACTGATGATTAGTTCAGACATGCATCTGTTCATGTTTTAAGAATACAGCACCAATATGCTGCATGTTTCTCATTTGCCAAGTCTCTCCCTGTGTTCTTTGAAATATATTTGTATAAAACATCATAGGGTGCCCACGTATAAAGGGGTGTGAGGTGTCTGTGTACCTGTGAGGATGCCCAGGGAGGCGTACAGATATTCCAGACTGGAAGCGAAGGAGCTGAGGATGAGACCAGCAGACGACAGCAGACCTCCTAGCATCACTGTGGCTCTGCAGGAGAGACGGTTCCCAAGGAAACCACCCAGAGGAGCTGGAAACACCAAGGGATTATTTCACCGACTGATGGCTCAGCACTGGCCTTTTATATTCACTACAATTCACATATATGAGGGTTATAAAATCTGTGAACTTTAGATCCATCTCTTTGCACACATATTTTATTGCACTGCAGTCTTAAAAGTACCCATACACCATTTTTTTTATCCCAATGTCTTTATCATTTGTCTGCCTTTTTATTGAACAGTTTCTGGGTTAGGGTTAGGGTTAGGTTAAATTCAAGAAGTTGAAACTATAAAGACAAGAGAACTTGAATGTTTACGTATTTATGATCTTCACTGTCTAGGAGAGCGCATTTATTAGATTTTGGGTCTTTAACAAAAATGTTTTCCATCACATTCCATTTTGTATTTTGCATCTGGATCTGCATCGAAATACAATTAGTGAATGAAAAATAGGAAAAAGTCCTTTTTTTCAATGTGTAAGGTATGGAGTACATGACAAAAATAGAAAAGAAAATACCAAAAAAATGCTCACAGATTTAAGAAAACATTGAGTCCCCTCCTTAACAAAACAGTCAAATGGGATTCCCAACAAAAAAAAGTAATTTTTGAATTGCCAAATCTGGTTTAACTTCAGTGTTAATCTGCATTCAGATACTGCAGTGTGTTGAGGTCTCACCACAGAGCATGGTGGTAGAGTCGATCAGACTGTGGATCCAGGCCGTGGTGGAATAATCCTTCCCAAAGTGCAGCTGGAACTCCACGAAGAACATGGAAACACATCTGGATACAGAGAAAACATGGATTTAGTGCATTTATTCCATAATTGTCTGCAAAAATGGCATGTAGGTAAATGTCTATGGCTTTGTTTGTTTGGGACAAACAACGGAAGAGTTTAAGGCTGGAGCCACACAGAGACGATAACGAAAACTAACCGAATTCGATATAAAAAAAAGTCTTCCGTCCACACAGTATCGGCTCAATAAACGTGTGTCTGTCCACACGAGACCGGGCGGCGAGGTGCCGTGGGTTAGATGCGCGTTCATAATGCCGAGTGCCATGGACTGGCTCTTGGCCATAACAAAAAGCGTGGGAAGGACAAGAATATGTAAATGAAAAGGTATTTATTTGGCAAAACTCAATGTGGCCAAAAAACAAACAAAAGGGCAAGGCAAAAAAGAATAAGCGACGCTGCTCTCCGAGGTCGGGTCCTCTGGGGGGAGAGAGCTCGAGGCTCTGGCCTCTTAATCCTCTGGTGCCAGCCGTCAGGTGTCCACAATCAGTGAATCAGGTGTCCTCAATCAGTGCGGGCACAAGCAGAGGACCAATAAAGGGCCATACACACCACAGGAGACCTCAAAGCAGGGGTCGTCACACCGAGGAAAATAACTCAGAATAACGTTATTAGCACATTTTACAACTTGAGGACCGAATGTTTTTGATAAGGGCTATACAAATGTTCATACTGGGTAGTTTATTTAGTTAAAAAAAATTATCCAACGATTTACAGACGTCTCTTTCCCAATGTTAGTCAATGGGAGAAAGTATTTCCGGGCCCAGCGACTGATACGGAAGTGTAGTACCGCCGTTTGGCCACAACGACTATTTTTTTCAGAGACCAGCGCACTTCCTGGGGGCTTGGTTTCGGCGGCCTCTGTTTCTCTTTTTATCCCTCCCCGAGGCGAGCGTGTGCTCCTGCTGTAAAAGGCAGGTGCACCACACCCACTGCCACTAACTCTGAGCCTGGCTCCCGAGCAGGACGTTCACCCCGGTAGTCCACCAGCAGATGAAAAACACCCACCTCTCCGCCTCTTCCAAGGGACGAGGGAACCGTGCGGGGGGGTCTGCTGGAGGCTCCTGCTGGGTGCTCCGTCCTGCGAGATACCGGGACCTTTCTCAAAACACTGTTGTTGGCGAGGTGGGGAGAGGCGGGGCCTATGGCGTCATCGTTATCAGGAATTGATCGTATAAGAGTCATTTGGCCCCCAAGAGCGTTGCGTCCGCAGATCTACCCACCTTGGGACCCGTTATCGTTATCCGCGTTTCCCTGTCGGCCTCGTGTGGACGAACCGTCTAGACTCTATAAGATAGAGAACTGTAGCGGATACGACGAGTTTCGTCTCCGTGTGGCTCCAGCCTATTACGGCCCGTCCACACGGCGGCGTGCGTTGAAGCTTCAATGCTTCTGCCCATTCACTTTGAATGGGGTGACGTCACACTTTGCCCAACTGCATTGTGGGAGCGTCGCTTCGCTTGGCTCACGTTTCTCGCTTCGAAAGTTGAGCAATGTTCAACTTTTGAACCTGCGACGGAAGCGGCAGCCAATCAAATGATATGCCAGTACAAGCTCTAGCCAATCAAACCGCGTGCTTGTGTGTCCGGGGCGGGATATTCATGTGATTGGTTGTTGGTCGAGCTTCAGACACGGCCGCCGGCAAGCTTCAACGCACGCCGCCGTGTGGACACTGCGTAACGGCCCGTCCACACAGCGGCGTGCGTTGAAAGCTTCACCATTCACTTTGAATGGGGTGACGTCACTTTTTGCCGAACTGCATTGTGGGAAGCGACGCGGAGCTTTGCTGGCTTGGCTCGCGACAAAAGTTGAGCAATGTTTAACTTTTGAAGCCTTAGCAGAAGCGTCAGCCAATCGAATCATATGCCAGTACAAGCTTTAGCCAATCAAACCGCTGCTTGTGTGTCAGGGGCGGGAGATTCATGTGATTGGTTGTTGGTCGAGTTTCAGACACGCCCGCCGGCAAGCTTCAACGCACGTCGCTGTGTGGACGGGCCGTAAGGTGATAACAACTGGGGACACTTTTTTCTAAAGGGGAAAGACTGTGACAACTAACGATCTAGGTCATATCGTGTTTATCACTTTATTGCTTTTATTTTCCTACCATAATCGAAAGGTCCTGTCCTCCCATTTATTGTTTATGACATTTTATTGTCTATATTGTAACTTCAGGAGGAACTCTCAGTTCTCATGGCATCTGACTGGATCAGATTAGACATTAGTGAAGTTGAAACGAAAAGTTACTGATCACCTCCCTCAGTTCATACTCGTTGTAAAAAGGTCGACCACCATCTTTTTACTTGTTATTTCTTACTCAGCACATGCAAACCTACATGAGCAATTCAGCCGTCCTGAAGTACATATTAGCTTTAATCTTAACGTATTAAAATGCAAATAGCAGTGGAAATCTAAACCAGCCAACAGCTCAGGGGTGCATGAAAGGGGCTTGCTGTGCCAAATTAAGATGGAAACATCTCAGCAGGATTAGTGGAAAAAAAGAAAATATTGCTGCTGAAGCGGGTAAGTGGCTTACACAATGTGAGCTGAGTGGTAATGAAGTGTTGCCAAGTAATAACAGAGGTGATGACCAAAGCTAATAACCCAAAGCCTATATGGAAGAACCAGTGTGCCACACAACACTGCACATCCAGAAGCGACAAATCCTTCTCAAAAGATCTCTTAAATCTTCCAGATCCATAAAACAAAGCATCATCATGAACAAACCCCCTAAGTGATTATTTGAATATTGATTAATCATCCTGTGTTACATTACATTTGTAGAAGATTTAAAGCTTTAAGGCAGTTCAACATAATATTTAAAGTCTCATTGATTCAGTTCAACTCCCCAAACACATGCTTTTTGGCTCGTGCAGGAATGTTTTAATTAGTAAGGCTCCATCGAAAATGCAAGTCATGCAAATACTTTTTTTTCAAAAACTTGTGGTGGTGTTCCTTAAAGACAACACAAAAACACCCAATTATGCTTACTACTTCAGTGAGATTTTTGTTTCGGATATTTATAGCCCAGCTCGGATTTCATAACGTGATGCTTGATGAGTTTACCAATATGACAGGCTGGTCCTCACACACACACCTGGTTACAGCCCGAATGCAGATGGTGGCGAGGAAACAGCCAGCGACGATCATCCAGCCCCAGCCGCCCTCCGGTGGGGTCGTGACCCCCGACACCCTCCTGCCACCCTCGAGCTTCTTCTCCTTGGTGAGTGTCATCGCTTGAGCCAATGAGAAGGCCGGCTCACATCAGTGTCTGCTCTCTCTGTTACAAGGGAAGCTGGAGGTCACAAGTCCTCTTTTGTCCTTCTGGCACTAAATGTGCAGCGTGTTTCCATTGGCTGGGCTTTCTCTGTCAAACCGCAGTCACTTTCTTAAAGCTCTTCCGATGTTTCTGTTTGCTCCTCCTCTTCTTCCTCTGTCCCTGAGGAAACACAAAGAGCATAACAGGCAGAAACCATGAATATCAGCTTCATGACAGAGTTTAAATCCATTTAAATTATAATTAATTTACTTTAAATATTAGTGTCCCCTGTGTAAAAATTATTTTTTTTAAGTTTAAAGCTTTGATGCTATTAAATATTGCATCTGTATATCTAAAAACACGTTTGCAGAAATCTTAATTCCAATTTTTGTATATATTTTCTTTCAAATGGCTTGGCAGCTACACTCTTTGGATGAAGCACCTCATGTTTGAGATTTTTCTGTGAGCAGAAGATCATATTTTGTTTCCAGCTCAAAACACTGATCTATGAGGGAACTTCAGAAGTCCAGTACTGACGAGTTCACACTGCCACATTCACGGCCACATTTGCAACGTTTATCATTGGGAGAAAAGAGATTGCCACATACACAGAGGAGGCAGGCATGTCTTTTAAATGATATGTTTTGGTGAGTATCATAATGGTGTATAATAGCAATGAATTAAAAAAAAGTGAACAATTTTTCCAGCTTCAATAGAGAACTTTTTTTGAATGAACCTGAAAACACTTCTTGACATATCATTGTATTTACACTTGAGTTCATCTTTCTCAGTGTGGACACATTTAGCATATTCTTCTTGCTGCAAGATAAAAGTTATGCAAATGTTCTGCACGGGATGGTCTGTTGGAGACATATCATCTCACAAAGTAGCAGTAAAAGCTCCATCTGTATTTCAAAGACAACACATCTTGAACTGTTTTTTTGGTGCAATTCCTGGCATTTAAACGGGGGGATCACATTTCGGCCCCCACCTGGTGTGGGTGTTGCCCCAACCAAAAAAAACCACAATATGTGATGTTTGTGCGACATAAAACAAATATTTTACGGATAAAAATAAGCACTTTATGGAGTTGTTTTGTGCCTCGAAATCTTATGGTTTACAATAAACCATAAGATTTCGAGGCACAAAACAACTCCATAAAGTGCTTATTTTTATCCGTAAAATATTTGGGCCAAACACCAGAACAGAAGTCAGCTACAGTTTATGTAAAAAGGTAGTCGTTCAGTGTGTCTGAAGTTGAATTTCAAGGGGGTTAAAGTGCTAACTATTAGATCCTGTTTTTTTGCATCTGATAATCCCACACTCTTTACATTTGAAAAGCTCTGGCCCTCCCACCAGCGTTTTTGCATTCCACCTACTCGGGTTGTATTTGGTTATTTAAAGAACTCAATGAGTCTGGAAGAATCTGCACAATCAAGCTGTGTTGGCCTACGTTTAAGGGGCTTTTCAGTTACAGGCTGGCACACATTTAAATAGGAAATAAAGCAATAAAATAAACACTGGCAATCTTATTTAAAAGATAAAACATGGCGTATATCGGCCTTCATTTATGTCCGGTTGAAACTACTTTCACCTGCCGTCCAAAGGTTTGTGTGGAAATGATTTTGCTTTGTCATCTTGACAAACAACCTGTACTGTTTGCTTGTGTGTGTGTGTGTGTGTGTGTGTGTGTGTGTGTGTGTGTGTGTGTGTGTGTGTGTGTGTGTGTGTGTGTGTGTGTGTGTGTGTGTGTGTGTGTGTGTGTGTGTGTGTGTGTGTGTGTGTGTGTGTGTGTGACACAAGAGAGAATGTCCCTACTGTTGCAGAGTCAATTTGCTCAGAGGAATGACAAGACTTGGTTCACACATGGCTTGCACCAGTTTGCAATATATAGGATAAAAACAAAAATACATTCAATCAATCAATGTTTATATATATAGCCAATATCAAATGTTACATTTGTCTCAGTGGACTTCACAGTTTGTACAGAATATCAGTAACAAACATTACGGTTTGTCACAGAAATGGTCAGGAACATTCATATATCTGCACATGACAACAACAAAAAAGCTGGTCATTTGATATTTAAAGTTTGTCAAATAGATATGGCTATTATGTCCAACTGTACAATTAATGACATCCAGACGCACATTTTCTTTGAAGACTTTAACAATGTATTTTGAAGTACACAATACATTGTTAAATACAGTACTTTTTGTAATTTACAAAGTTTAGCATTTATGTTTTTGCAGCACTTTTAAATAAAAGTTTTGAAAATGTGCACAAAATAAACTCTTAACTTAGAAGTTACTCTTTTTACACTGCATTGCTGTAACAACAAAAAGTTAGGAAAATAAATAGACAGACTGAGAATCGACAGATACTGCAAAACCAAGAAAAACACCCCAAAACAAGTATCATACAAGTTTGTGTTGACTTACATTAGCTTCGTAGTCGGTCTCTGCTGCTCTGTGTCATGGCTCGGCAGAAACACAAACCGGTGATAAAATAAAAAAACAAAATGTACTAAAACAGCTTTCCAGCTGCACACACCCCGAGGGTGCTCTGCAGACTGCAACACAAGTGAGCCCGCAAACTGAAGATATGGAGGTGAAGGGGGAGGGGGAGGAAGAGGATGAGGGGGACATGAGGGAGAAGGAAGGAAGGAAGGGCTTCACACCCTTTATATAATACAGTCTATGCTTCACACACATAAACCAAGTGTGACTCAAAGCAGCTCGGAAAAGTGTACTTTAGAGTGTTTTTTATTGCTGTTTTGTCCCATCCTAGAATGTTGAGTAACGTTATATAATCCTGCCCAGCAACAACAGAGCCCTTAATGTCGCCCTGACCATGTTACTGTTTGATGTAATCAGCTTTTAATATATTGTGATAAAGATAGCGTTATCTCACCTCCTATAATTTTCTTATAAACATTTATGATGGAATTAATTTCGCATCGTTATGTTGTTTTTTTAAAGACCGATGGTGCAATGTAACAACCTGGTAACAACGCATAGGCTATTGGTAATGTTTGAAGCCACAACATTGCCAATAGCTAAATAAGTTATTTTTGCATTGTAAAAATACATGTAAGCTTCATATTTATCTTAGACCTCCAGTCACTTATTTAAAAATAAATAACTGGTTTATACAAGTTAATTAAAACGATTAATCTTTCTGCTAGCTACCTAGCCATTGCCAACATAAAACTAGCTAGCTAGCATCTTAAGCTAATGCAGTAGATATGTGGCCCAAGTAGTTTAGCATGCAAGCTAATGCTAACAAATGAACGTTAGCCGAAAGTGGCTAGCAAAAATGGTGGGTGTTGTTCTATCCACTGATATATTCAGTTGTTTCATTAACTTACTATTTTTAAAAGAACCTTTTCCTTTCCAAATGTATTCAAGTAGCTTAAATTACAGGGACATGGTCAAGTTAATATTAAACAATCCTCTATACAAGTGAATGTGCCATTTTGATTGCAAATGTATTTCTGCAAATACAGTGAAAATAATTTGAAGCTGTTCACTCTCAGCACCTTTAGATTGTAATGCAAATGATTATGTTAAATGTAGGTACAACTGTTGAGTCAACAGTCACTTCCTTCCCTGATTTTAAAGTGGACCTATCATGCTATATTTGAATAATATATTGTAGGGCCATACCTAGTGATGTTACGTATTGCGCCGAGGCTTCGGAGCGTGTGTCGAGTAATCGCCGAAGCTTTTTGTGAAGCTTGTATCGGCTTGTATCGTTTTCGGCCAGTGACGTCATCGATGACAAACGAATCCTCGCTGCCTGTCGATACCACGTGACTGCTTCACGAAGCGATTCAGATCGGTTGAACCATTGAACCACAACGCTCATAATACCCATGGATGTATAATAAGAACCATATTACCCCTCCTGTACCCGGGCTCGGTGACACGATGGAATCAAGAGAGCTCAGACCCTCACTTATATAGAGGTCGGAACATGTCATAAGTATAAATAGATACAAGCATAAATAAATGTAGGAATAAAAACATCAATACATACAGGAATACATATCTTGCAGTGTTTTCAGGGAGCTTTAGTGTGTGTGCTGTGGCTCAGCTGGAAAGCAGTTGACTCATGACCGCAGGGTCCCTGGTTCAACGACTGAACAATACGTATTTTTTGTTGTTTATAAAAGCTACAGCTAAATGAGATAATGTAGTTAACAAATGTATTCTTTGATATGGTTTAGCCTTTCTCAGGCTACAACATGGTTAAGTTTATGAATATTATTAAGGAATACAAATCCCTCTGTGCAATGTTTACCAGCCTCCTTAGGCTTTTCAATCACAATCATTAAACTGGAATAAATACAATATTGTTAACATGAAAATATGATTTTATGTTCGTTGTTTAGATGTATTTCTAAGGCTTTACTCAATGGGAACTCGGTATGAGATAGAGTACACTGTTGAGATGTCCAATCTGCCTGTTTTACACACTTTGACCAACAGGGGGGTTTGTGTTCAAATGAAGCCCATGATGAAGCCTCATGAGATGAACCCTTTTGCGAACCAATTGGCTGGAAAGCTTCATACGGCTTCATCTCGCCATCCCTATATAAAACATGTCTGAAGTTTTTTTTCTTCAAAATACCAAACAGATCATGCATTTTAGCCATGCCTCATTTTGCTCTATTCCAGCCCTGTCTTCACAAGGGCTGATTCTGTGGCAAATGAGCTGCAGCTGACCACGCCCCCCTGCAAAGGAGGGGGGCGAGGCACGAGCTTCATGTTACCATGCTGTTACCATGCCTCTCATTCCATACCTCTCTTTCCCCTGATAGGTGGAGAGTTGCCCATATAGGCGGAGCACCCCGTTTCTGACGTCAGAACAATTTAAAATCTGTATCAGATCCGTTGCAGCCCCGTTTTTAGAGATTTGGGTATGGAGGAAAAGAGAGAGGGTTGTGTTATCTGACACTTGGTGAGTTCCCTGACACACCGGGGACACATATTCATGTATAAAAGACGTACAAAAGTGCATTTTGCATGATAGGTCCCCTTTAAGTTACAACAAACTTAAAAAAACAAACAATGTTAAATGTTTTCTTGTTCAGTCAGTCTTTGTTTTATCTCATCCCTCTTTGTTTATTTATTTTCAAAAACAGAGTAAAGTGAGTAAAGAAACATCCAGAACACATATTGCTCATCCAGTTTTAGTTTAATTCCTTTGTGGAAAAGAATCTCTTCACTTCAGTACATACACATTGCACAAGGCAGGGAGCCATTCTTTTTATTTGTCTTTTTTTTCTATTTTAACCCTTTATTTTCCCCAAACCGGAGTTAAAAGCAGCAGCAGAATTGACGCAATAACCAGCACCTATAGGCTTCCCAAAATGCTCATACCCAGATCCACATCACAGAGAATCCAGCAGAAAAAGGCATCCGGACTGTTTAACACTTTTTCAAAATACCACATTTTCCCTACAATTCCCAATCGAAGTAACAATGACATAATAAGAATGATTATCTTTAATCAAAGTCTGAACTTCAATAAAACCAAGAAAATGTTAATAAAGTTACAATACATGTACAGAAATACTATCTGATTGGTGGGTTACCACATGTACAAAGGATGACAACACTTCTATACAACCAATAATAAACATCTACACGTATGTTATTTAACGCTATTCGTCATTCAAAGTGGTTCGTCACGGTGCATCTTCTGTCTACGTTGGGATTTGCAAAATAAGTGCCGGGTCATGTTTGGGAAGCCAAGAACTGTTGAAACAACTTAACAGAAAGATTGCTGGTGTAGAATATATCATATTAATATTATTTACAAAATCTCTGTACAATCAAATACACAAGGTTGAAAATGTCTGTCCTGCTAGTCAAGCATTCCAGAAGACAGTTTTAAAGGTGGGATGTATTCACGCAACAGGGTGTTAACCGGATTAGGCCCTTTGAGAAAAGGTTAAGCAAAGGGAGTGCAAACTATCACACAAGCCTAAGGTCAGAAGGTCACAAGGAACATTATGTCACGGTTTATAGTATGCAACATGAGGTTTGACAGGATGTTTACAGTTTGATTTATATCGTAAACAAACACTGTTCAAGATAAAAGTGAACCCGGGTCTTTCATCCAACAGAGATTGACAGGTTAGATGTAAATCCAAAATAGCTGTAGGTGTGTTAACAGAGCTTCTTACAGCATGTGTTACTGTGCATACATGTTTAGTCACACAGACTATACCAACAAAACATGCATGGTACACTCATTTTGGTGCATAATCCGGCCTAAAACATTCTGTTGCGAGCATTCACCTTGAATAGTGTTAACAAATCAGCAGGACAGAAACTTCAGGAGGAGAAATTATCTTCCGTCAAGATTCAAAGGATTTTTAACAGGGGAAAACTCACATGGGTTGCATATATATTTTTAAAAAACATTTACAAACAAGTCCAATAGACTGGTTGCTTTAAAGAAGAGGTGAGTTTGTTGAAAGGGAAAAAGAGATCCATGGGTGAGTTACGGCATAGCCTGTTGGTTAGATTTCACTCAGGGTGGCATGACATTTAAAGCCAAAACTCCTACTAGTATCACTGGAGATAATACTGATGTGGGTTGGATGGTCCCAGCAGGAAATTAACCTCAGACAAAGTTTACTGAGGTCCAAACCCCAGACTCTAAAAACCTTAACTCAGACTATCAAAGCAGATAAACACCCACATTGTTGACTTTTGATTACAAAAAAATTGACTGTAGGCTTAAAAGCTAGTTTACTTAATTGACTGAATTCTTGCCTAAGGCCGTGTCAGTGTTATCACGGTAAGGATGTGAAAAGGACCAAACGTGTGTCAGTGCAACATGTGACACTGCTTTGAAAGATGGGTTTCATGACTCTTGGTGCTGAAAACACACAAACATAGTTTATGTGTAGCATTTTACATTCCAGCCAGTGTCATTTGGTTTTTATATTAAAAAAACTGAAGCTGCAGCAGTAATACAATAATTAGGTACATCAAGTATCTGAACTCATGACATCCTCATGGCATTACATAAACTCTGGCGTAGAACTGTTTTAGATTAGTAGTTATTTTACAACTAGCATTTATACCACTACTAGGAACATAGCAGTACACTAAAATGCTATCAAGCATTTACAGTAATCTATGGTATGCAGGGACCATGCATCATCGTAAAACGGACATCAAGGACGCAGCCAGATGTTGAACAGCAGATTGTAAAAAGTTCAAATGGACTTCTATGTTTAAATGTTCCTCGTACTTGGGTGTTCAGCTGATGTGAGATAATAGGCCCTGCAGGACAGTGAGCAGGTGTGTTTGAAAAGAAAATAATCATCAACTCACAGTCATTACTTTTTCTAGTTATGCAAATCAGCACGTTTTAAAAGGCTTCTCAGCCTGATCGCACATGAAAGTGACATTTCTGGAAACAATCACACTGGTTCTTTTGTGCCAACCAAAACAAAAACATGAAAATGCTGTACAGTATATTAAAATCACATGGGAAAACACTCACATATTCACTTCGTACTGGCCACAAAAAAGGCTTAAACCAATTATAGGACAAAACTAATTCCGTTAAATGTTCCCAAAC